TAATATTGTCCGACTCTCTAGTCCAACTTATCACCATAATAATGATTAATCAATCAGAAGGAAAAATGCAAATGGATTACAGCGAGTAATCGCAATTAAGCAATAAATTCAACTTCTAATATAAATTGTCCATGGTCACACCATCAACAGCAAGATTTTCACTTATTTTCTAAAATAAATAGGTGCATATTTCCATTTCTTAGAGGTAACATATGGCTATTCAATGGTTAAAAAAAAAAAAATGAAAAAAGAATAGTTGAATATTTATAAAACTTACTGCATTCCATCTAAATAGGTTCTTGTAGTCCCATTAAATGCTCCAGATAATGACGTTATGCTTAGTACCCAGTTCTCCGAAGTATTTTCATACCCCTCGAATGCCTGAAGTTAATTCGACAATCTCTTTCATTTACTATATCAAAGTTGTTTTATGTCTCATTGTTACCCAATTCATTTACTCAAAAACTCACCTTATCTGCGAGCATTTGCTGCAAAACCCGAACAACCTGTGCTCCAGCCGAATGTCCCACAAAGTGAATGGGGTGATCCTCATCCCATTCGGGGTAATGCCCTGCATTTTTGCAATTGTACCAGTCAAAAACACAAGAACATATATGGCATATTTGGTGCCAAAGATTAGATAACAAAGAAAAGCTAATATCTTGCTAATTATTCCGTCGAATCTAATCCAATACAGCATACCAAACGTGCACATAATTCCCATATCAGAAGATCTTAGCATACAACCGAGTTAAGAAAATTGCAGCAAAAGGGCAGTTATATTCCTACCCTTCTCGTAAATCCTCCCAAATTGAGAGTGCCCACAAGCCTTGCTATGTTCTTCTCCATAATCAACTTGCCCACCTTTCAGATAATAGAACAATTCTCTAGCCCTGAAACCTTTACTCCATCAAATATTGGAAAAGACAATACATAATAAAACCAGAAACGTCTATACCAAAAACAAGCATTTTATAATTGAATTCGAAAAACACCCACCTGTCATATATGCTTGTTAATGAGCCTAAATCAGGCACAAGAACCCTATCATCCTTTTTCTCTGCCCCAGCGAAATACGACAAACTCCCCAATCTCTACAAAATCATAAAGACAAATCCATTCTTGAAAATTGTCGAATTTCATAAACGTCAATGGAATCGTATATATATATATATATATATATAAACATTTATACATATATACATACCCCTTTGCCAAAACCAAAGATTCCATGAACTAACACAATGGGTGGCAAATCATCTACACTAGTTCTCTTTTTTGAATCATCCCCTTTCAATCCATTCTCCAAATTAGGCTTAAAAAACGAATCACTCACAGCCTGTGAGAGATCACCAGCTAAAGCTGTACTGAATATATAAAACCCATATGTCAAATGCACCACAGAAGTAACAAATAACTCAGTAAATTGCAAAGCTGAAATCCACCATCTAATCATCTTGTTATTTTCTTAAAAACCCACAAATTTTTATATCTGAATCTGTAAGATACAAACGCTTTTTTTCCTCAGAGAGAAAAGAGCCTTCTTGAAGAAAAACAACAGAAGGCTCTAGATCATCAAAAAAAAAAAAAAAAACCAAATATATAATCAAGAAACCCCCCTTCCCCGCCCCCCGGGTCCGCCCCAATGATGCCTATAGGGGGGCCAAAATGTAAAACAGATTCAAAAATTTTCAGACCCTTGAAAATGGGTTATTCATTTCTTCAATTCTTCTACCACAATTTTCTCATTGTCCACCTTTCATAAAGTCATAACGACCAAATGACCAATCAAGAATTTGTAGAGGAACGCCAGTCTAGAATAGGACACCTTGTAAAAAAAAAAAAAAAAAAAGAATTTGTAGAGGAACCTTTCTAGAAGAGGGATGGTCGAGATTGGTACCACGTGTCTTGGTGGTTACTGCTAAGGACAAATGGCGTAAAATAGTCTTAAGGGGACAAATACCTATAATCTAGGTCTATTGAGGAGATTTTGGTGAATAGGGATAATGATAGGATTAGAAGTGGTGAAATCTTGTTGCATAATCCAAGTTGAGCTTAGTAATATGGGAAAATTGCACCATTGGTCCTTTACATATTGTCTCGATAGCACATACCTTTTGACCTTTAAAATGAACAAATTGTCAACTATCCATCGTTATAGATAATTCCCATATCTGGCCCAAATAACTAAAACTATTCAAACTTTGATTAAATTATCACCTGACTTTTCGGATAACATGTCACATATTGGTGTTAAAAAATGAGCAAGTTAATTTGTCATTAAAAAGAGTACAATCCTAAGCTTATGTTCAAAACATGTATAATCTAGATATTGGTTCAAATTGTAAAGTAGAATTTACTATCGTAAAACTAGGAGCATGTTTGGTACGGATTCAAAGCCAATTAAAATCAATTTTTTGACCATTATTTCACTATTTTATTCGTCATTTTTGACTCACTTTATTTCTAGAAGTCAAAAAATCAATTAACAAATCTCTACCAAACAAGCACTAGATATGCTTGTACTAAGTGACGATATAGCCATTGCTTGGAGCACATTATTTGTCTCATTAAAATGAAAATTCTAGTCATTGTAAAATAAAATCTGACCCCACACGAGGTGAACATGCAACAAAAAAGGCTGGATGAGTTGGTTAATGGTCAAAATTTTTATTTTTTTTGTCCAATAATGTGCTTCAAACAGTGGCATAGAATAAATTTGGATAGTTTCAATCATTGAAACTAAATTTGACAACTAAGGTTTCTCATGAAAACTTGATTGGCTTCAAAATTTTATAATTGATTCAAGCCGTAAAGAAAAACCCATATTTGGGGAGTTAGATATATGAGAGTGATGATTTAACTTAAATTTCAATGGCTTAGATCATTGGAGACTAACACATTGTATTTTAAATGTTGAAGATACATTTGCCACCTGTGTAATAAATTAGGGACTAGTGATGTAATTGTACATATAAATATTCATTATTCAAATTTGGGTGGTACAGAAGAGATTCTAGGCGTTTCTTTCCAAGAATAATTTTGCTGTATCACAGCTGGAAGATTCAGTGGGTCAAACCAACCAAATCGCGTGGGTCCCACTTCTTATCCGAATCATAGCATGGTCATCCACATTTTACCATTAGTGCTGGGGCGTCACGCGCTTCATAAGTTCATTATATCAAAATAGTTTTAAAATTTTGACGGTGTTTTGTAGAGATTAAAATTATATTTTTTAATAATTTAAGATGGAATTTTTTTAAATGTGTGGTTGGAAAGTTGTGTTATTAATAAAAAATATGATTAATATTGATCATTTGATTTTGACTTAGATTAAAGGGACGTTTATTTCCCATTTTTATAACAATAAGAATGAAAAATATAATCGTTATGGATCTCATACAAAATATAGAAATTTAAATTTGGTGTCTTGATGTGATGGATAACAGTCATTTTTTTATTTTAATGAGGAAAGAATGGAAAACAATCATGGGCTAAAATCAAATTTTAATCCAAACCAAACATGAAAATGAAGAGATTTTTTTTTTAAATTGAAAATGATTTATTAGTAGTGAGTGATTAAAAATAAAGAAAATATTCTTTCAAAATACTCGAATATTGTTATTTTAATTTTATATTATATTTTCAATTTAATCTTTGTTTGATAGAGATTAAAATTTAAATCAATGCTAAAAATTAATTTTAACAATATATTTTATGATATCTACAATTTTTCAACTATGTACTTTTATCAATTTTCATAAAAAAATGATTTTAATCCCACCAAACGAGGATAAATAAAACCCTCAAAAAATATTAAAAAATTAATTAATTATGATGCGATGGATAGAGATTTTTAATCCTCATCCAAACCAATTCTCGCCTTGCTTCCCGAAAGTTCTCAACAAAGTAGAGACGGGCATGATCGCAATGACTAATTGCCTATTCTGTTGCCATCCATGATCTTTCAAGCCCTTTGAATCTTAACCCTGCCCTGCTAACTCATTTTCTTCGCCATAGGAAAATTACTTGCTTCCCAACAAGAACAAGAATTAATGAATCATATGACTGGCAAACAAATTGGTAACGATTTTCAAAGTATAAGGAAGGTCTTCATGCAATTTTAGTTCTCACGTTAGAGAACAATAATTTTTTAGCAAAGTAGTAATAATTCCCTACACCTACGAGAGATTGAATGGCAAAAAGAACGAATTAGGATTGCGAAGAAATTTAGACTCTTTTCAAGTAATATGTTATATGATACTTAAACAAAATGATACACTAAAACATGCATATTTCATAGCATGCTAACAGTCAAGGCTGCGACTCTATCCTAAAGTAGATCAAAGAAGAGTGTGAAACTTCTTGTTGGTTTTTGAAATTCAATTAGTTCAATTAATGTTCAAGGTAGGGTTATATAATTTTTATCTGCTCAATTATATTTATTAACACGATCTAATTATTGATATCTCTTTTCAAAGGATATTAAAAACATTTGTTAAGTAATATGTTATATAATACTTAAACAAGATGATACACTAAAACATGCATATTTCATAGCATGATGATGGTCAAGGATATAACTCTATTAAACATAAGGATTTTTACTATTCATACATCGGGGCGTCACCTCTCAATAAGCGGTCCATAATTTTTTTATTGGCCTTCTTTATTGTGAGGAGTCGTACACCGAAGTGTCGTTTGCAAAATAGCTAAATTCTAAACATAATCAATCTAAAACTTATCAATTAAAAATTTAATTTGTTTTATTTTTAAACAATATCCAGTCGTTCTTTTATATGTATTCAATGATGACAGGAGATGCGTTTCACCCACTTCTTCAGACGCACGTGGAGTTGGCGGCGGGTGCACATGGAAGTACCACGTTGTGCGCATTTATTTGACTGTTTTTTCCGGTTGGCGCATTTATTGTGGTGTTCAAATTGTTTGACTTTTTTTTTTTTTTTAAAGGCGGAAAAGAAAAACAGATCTTTATTTTTTGTTTTTCACTGTTTTATTATTATTATTATTATTTTTGTAATTTTGAGTTCTTTATTGTGTAAAGGTAATAATTAGGTCAGCTTCCTCGATCAACATTCTTAGTAGGGCACCGACCAGAAATGCCAAAATTAATCTCGATTTTCTCATTGTCTGCGACCAAATTGGCATGTGCAAAAATCAAAGGCAATTTATTTTATTTGACCTCAAGACGTATTCTTGTCAACTATGATCAAGTGTTAGTGATTAATATTTCATTTTAAATTTAGAAAAATAAATTTGCTAGAATGTTGGACTCGTCCGTTGACTTGAAGACATATTATTGCCAAGACTAATGAACTGTTCACCTCATGAAGTATTTTGACTTAAAGATGGATGAAATCAGTACAGAGTAGAATTAATATGGAACTAACGATTAATGAGTCAATTCAACTCCAAAGAGATGAATTTTCTTGAAGGTTGGATTAGCCATTTACCACAAGATGTAATCATTTCAAGACTGGTCGATCTTTCATCTCGTGACACATTTCATATAAAGATAAGGCTAGTTATATTTGGATATTTTTCAGTTATCAAAAATTGATTGTGTAGCTGTAGTATAGTTATCAAAATTACTACAAGTGCAATATATTAAAGGCATGTTGTGCAATTTTTTATTTTTATTTTGGAGAAAAAGAAAATTGCCAGAGATTATTGTTTAAAGACTCGGATGTGCTTTTGTACTTTGGGTCTTTATCTTTAGGGCCTACTTAATAAATGGTTAGCTTTGATTAAAAATGGCAAAAAAAAAAAAAAAAAAAATCCCTTGTACTCGATATTCGTGGGATCCACTTAATTTGGTAATCGAGGAGGGGACGGGGTGCGAGATTTCGTCCTGGGGCGAATATGGGTAACAGGGGCCCTGCCTCATTCCGTTTAATTTTTTTTAAGAATTCAATATTTTAAATGAAAAATTTCACAAAATTTCATTAATTCTAGAGACTCTGTTTCTGCTTCTTCAGTAGACTTTAAGTATAAAAAAAAAAAAAAAAGCCGTTGAACTGGACTGTGGGTCCAAATTGTGAGAAGAACAATAAAAATGATGTCTGCTTATAAAGACCTTAGTTTATCAAATATATTCGAATAATTTAACTTTTAAAAATTAATTAATTAATTAAAATTTTAATAACTATATTATTGTCCAACTTTAATAAATAGGAGCAATAAAATGAATTATAAAAAATAATAATAATAAACTGGTAACAGGGCTAATAAGGGCCCGAAAAAATGCTCGACAGGGGAACCCACTCTATTATCACTCTATTATCATATCTAACTTTGACAGCTAACTAAACCATAAATTTCTTTCACTCTCAAAAGTATTTATTTTTATGAGGAATGCTAAATGCACACCATAAGGGGCCCACAAATTTTTTATTCATGGTGAACCCCCTCATGTAAGAGGGTTGTACACCATACTATACAAACATTAATATTCTTGTTTCTTTTGATGCTATCATTATAATTATAAAAAAAAAAAAAAAAAGTTGAACTCCAACCTTGAGGACTCCCACCGCCCCGCCCCTAGAGCTTTGTGAGGGAGGTAAATCGTGGGAAGTGCTCCAACAGGTCAGGGAACAAGAGCTATCTGTATACTGCGCCTACAATGAGTCTAATTCCATGTCTCAGGAATCAAATTCCCACACTGCGACTGCTAACAAGGCATGAGATAACATCACTCCCGTCCTTTACACCACTGGACTATGCTTTGGGAGACGATGCTATCATTATAATTA